TTAAAGCTAAAAAGATCTCTGGCCAAAAGGTCAGTTGTCAGCCAGTTGACCTTGCCTTGAACGTTAACAAAACATCTTGATTACTGTTGGTGGTGATGTATATCTACGTGGAAAATAAAGGAGAAGAGCTGGAGGTTAGTTAGGAACCACTTTACCATAATTTTAAATACTTAAGTTTCAGAATAGGATCTAAAAATCAACTGTGCAAATCTACCAAAGATTAACTCAGTGTTCCTATTTTGTCTATTCTTCCACATAGTTCCATGAGCACATGGAAACATAGACAGCAGGTCCTCAAAAGATATCATTTCATCCAACATTGTTTCATTATAACATCGAGGACAAAGAAAATCAGTTGAGTTCCTGGCCAAGGCTACTGTCTTCGTGGAGTGTGCCCATTGTCCTGAGTCTGTGTGGACAGTCTCTGAATACTCTCTGTTTTCCTTCCTTGTCCTAAAGATGTGCATGTTAGTTCACTGGTGAGTCGACCTGGTCCCCATCTGAGTGTAGGGTGTGTGTGAGTGTGCCTATGCCCTGGGAGGGGACGGTGTCCTGCCCATGGCTGGATCCTGACTTGGCTCTGAGCTGCTGGGATAGGTGTCAGCCATCTGTTTCCCTGAAATGGAAAGGTAAATAACTTTCTTAGTTTTTATTACTCTTTTAAAAATATATCTATAGCCCGTATTTATTTCAATATTCAATATTAAAAGTGCTTTGGTCTTTATTTAGAAGTTGAGTGATTTTTTTTTTTGACCAGAAATATGCCATAGGAGCCTCAATCTTCTTGGTATCAATTAGCCTGTGTTAAACTTTGTTTCATTGTACATCATTTTGCTTAGTCCCAGTTTTCATGAGCCTACTGATGATAAGTGCAGACTGGACTTAGGGTACTCCCTAAGGGTAACTCGCAAGCTTCCTTTGCCCCAGTCCATGCAGAAATGGGGAAGCTTCCTACTCTCAGACATGTCCTGTGAGTCTTGTTGACTTTCCTAAGAGTATATGAACCAATTACACCCTATGTCTTACTCGAGTAGTAAAGAAAATGCAACTGCCCCTAATCAGTAATAAAGAATTTTCACATTTCTGATTCTTCCTCAATAATATAACTTTGAAGTCTCAAACAACCTATTTGTACTGAATTTTCAGGTCCAAGAAAGTATGCTCATGGAGGTTTTGGAAGAAAAACCAGCCCATCCAATCTCTAGATACATAAAATGTTATCCTCGATCCATGCCTGACCAACAGGGATGCAAGCTTGGATCATCTTCTTTTGCCTGAAGTAGAATTAATTGTTTTAATCATTCACAGGTTGCTGTTATGCTATTGACCCAAACATTTTATTTTTAGTGACATAAATTTCCATAGTAACTTCATTTGTCTAGTTATCAGTTTCAATAACTCTTCTATCGAAAAGGAGGAAAAGACTATTTTATGTTCTAATATCAACTAAAAATATTATCAATGGCAGCAAAGAAAAAATGGGATGTAAAATAAATCTTAATGAAAAAGTAACAATAATAACAATAACATCAGTTTTGTTTTGCAATTAAAATGAAAACTTTTCACTTAGAGGTGCTTATAAAATGTAATCTGACACTAAACATAAACAATGAATTATGACCATTACATAAACATTTTCAGAGCAAACACAAGGTCACTAAGCTGTGTATATTCATTCTAGATAGTAGCCTGCTTTTCCTTGAATTCTGATCAGCTTTGGCAAGAATGCAGCCATCTGAACGTCTTCTGAATATTTGGGGACTTTCAAAAGGTGTGACAAATTCAAAAATAAATAACAAATGAATAAAAAGGAACCAAATGAAAAAACTTAGGTGCTGTAAGTTAACCTGTACTACTATCTTGAATAGACTTAACCAAGTATTAAAACTTGCAGTTAAATTTTCAAAATTCTGTGAGCCTTTTAAGTTGTAAAATTGTATTTTTACAGCCATTTTTCACATTTATAACAATATGGCACTTCTCTTGCCTACCTCAGAAAAGATGTAGAATGTGACAGAGACTTGCAAACTCTGACAGATAAAAGTTTCCTTATTGTTTCCCTTGAATTAAGATGTAGGAAATCATTGTTGTCTTTTTCTTTTAAAAAAAAAACATAAAACAATGTTTACGTTCTCGCTCTCTTTCTCTTTATGGTTTCATTCATTACATATATTTTTTTTCTTTTTTTTTTTTGAGACAGAGTTTCACTACGTTGCCCTCAGTAGAGCGCTGTGGGATCACAGTTCACTGCAACCTCCAACTCTTTGGCCTTCTCTTGCCTCAGCCTGCTAGGTAGCTGAGACTATAGGCGCTGGCCACAATGCCCAGCTATTTTTTGGTTGCAGTTCTCATTGTTGTTTAGCTGGCCTGGGCCAGGCTTAAACCCACCAGCCTCAGTGTATGTGGCCAGCACCCTACTCGCTGAGCTACAGGAGCCAAGCCTATTCATTATATTTTAATTTATATTTGTAGTTATATTTAATGGAATGTTTGTGGAATGATACTGAGCTATCACATTAGTTAAGTAAAAATAAAAATAGAAGTTCAGCTTATGCCAATGCTTGGAGTGATTTTTTAAAAAAATCTATTTTCCTCTGAAAAGTTTTTCTGTACTAACCACACAGTAGTATATATATATATATAAGTTTCTGGCTTATAGACTGGACACTACTTAATCTGTTAAGTGTCTTAGGAAATGCATCTTTAATTTAAGGAGATTTTATCAGAGATTTTACATTTTAAATTTTTCTCTCATACTTAAGAATCAGATTTCAGACTTGACTTTCACCTACTGCGCAAAGCTAGATTTCACTCATGCCCTTTGCCAAATGCCAGTCAGTTACAAAGAATTTAGAACAAGAGGGTTATTTGCCAATTTACGCTGGCTTGTTTTCCAGAATATTACCTTGGAATATGCTTAGTTTGGGCTAGCATATCTATTCCCCCACTACCTTAAATTCCATATTTTATTTTTAAAACCTTAAAAGAAAAAAACGCTACCCAGGAATCAAAGATTCTACCCAAGATTAAAGAAAATAACCGTCCTTAAAGCACGGTTTCCTAATTGAATAAGCTGAATGTATGGATTGTTTAGAATTAAAATTCAGAGGAAAATCTAGTTATCTGCAACTGGTTAGGAACAGGTACACAGCATACAGAAATATTAGAAAATGTCCAGGAAAACACTTCCTCCTGGTAGCTAAAACATAAAATGAAATTCTTTTATTTCTAATTCAATATTTCTTTGAAAAACAATGTATTATTTTTTTCCCTGGATTTCCTCTGTGACCAAACTTGTAAAAATTCTACACCTAATTGATTAGTTTTACTCTTTACTAGGTAATTCTCAGACCTAAGTCATAATATCTTCCCCACAAGCTTTCCTATGTCAGTGGAATATGGCTAGCACAATACATTAGCACAAATAGTTTTAAAGTAGCTGTATATGCATGGGCAACTAACTTGCCCTATGATGCCAATAGAATGCTTTTCATCACTTGCATGGCCCCTGTGACATAATTCAATCAACCGTCTGCAAGGGTTGCCTGCCCACTTGCCCTACAGTCCCCCCGCCCTCTGTTTTGTCCCTCCTAATCTAGCATGCTGACTAGATGTGTTCAGCTAGAGCTCCTTTTCAAGATGCTTCCAGAATGAACCTCTTCTCTGTGGAATGATTTGTGTGGACTAAAAAGTGGTCACATTAATGACAGACTTTATGGGCTCTTCAATTCTACCTTCATCATGAGCCCCAGCCAATTGTAAAGTTCTCCTCCTCAAGGTACTTAGGGAAGTCAACAGAGGTGACTTTCATGCCAGTCCTGGCTGGGGTTTTCTAGTGCTTCAGGGCTGATTGTATCACTGCTCACATCTTTATCACCCCTACTAACTAAAGGACAACTCCGGAATAATCTTCCCACCAGTTCCACATCCAGTTTTGGGAAGCAAGTGATGCCAGTCGCAGGGGCTCCCTAAGGCTCCCTGGACCAACACATACAGCCACAAGCACATGCACACGCACACAATCCTATCTGCATAGACATCCATGTACATACAGCCATATACACAGATACACCCATCCACACACACTCACACAACCACACACACACAAGTCTTTTGCAAATTGAGAAGCCCAACTCTTCCTCCCTCTATATTCTACTCTGTCTGGAGGGGGGAAAAAAAGAGTCCCACAGTAGGTGTGTTTGGAAACTCAAATTTCATGAAGTGTATGAAGAATGTCCTTTCACTATGCACATAGTAGTTTTTCTTCTTGTTTCTTTTTATTTATCCTCCAAGATGCACACACACTCTAGATCTGATGAGTTTTCAAGCAGCAATCTCCACACCAGAAAATTCCCAACCCTATCCCCTGGGGCAACCTCTCAGTAAAGGGCCCCATCTCTTTTAACAATCTAGATGCTTTCATTACCCATCCATACACAACAAGGCCCTGTCATGTGAGGATGAGAAGCAATCACTCCAGTCACCCTCTATATCAGCCTGTCAACAACATGTGAGTCCCAGCGGGGATCCCTGTTGGCATCTCCATTGAAGCACCTTGTCTTTTATAATTACGAGTTCACTATCACAATGGCAATAACAAGTAAGAGTAGATAGTGGTCTCCACAAGTACATAAAATGAGTCACAGGAAAGGGAAAACAACAACTGCCAGGCATTCGGGCACAGCTCCTTAATCCCCACAACCATAGAGGGTCAAATTATTTGTCCCTATTTGACACAGAGGCTTAAGTTCATGTAAATGTCAGAATCAAGGATGGAAACCACGAGCTCTAATACCAAACAGGAGGCTTCTTCCTCCATATGATGCTGTCTTACATATGCAGGGACATGCCCAACACAAGGAGCATGAAAACCTTCCCAGCAGTGACCTAAGAATGGGCTTAGAATCCTTTCATTCTGCAGGGCCTCCTGCCATTTAACCAGACCCTTCTTTGTGCTAGATTCTCTATGTACGATTCATCCCATCCTCCCAACTATGCAATCAAGTGGATCTAATTTTTCCTGAATTATGGAAGAGAAAACCAAAGTCAAGTGACTTCCCTAAGATCTGACACCCTATGAGTGCAAAAGCCAGGGCTCCAATTCCAAAGCTCAGCCTCTTTCCCTGACCTGAGTCTGTCATGTGTTTGTACCTGAGCATGTGATTTCTCTCGCAATTATGTACATAGTCAGGTTAGATCAAATCTCACATAATTTAAGACATATATATTAGAAAAAAAATAGGCTCATAAATTTCATTATTCAAAGGAATAATGATCCCATTTGAGGACCACCTGAATTCTCATGAACACATGCACTCTGCCCAGGTACTGACACATGATACAAATGCAGGCTTGAGTTATGCTCTGATGGGCTCCTCCGCGTGCTGCAGGCACTTTGTGTAACAGCGTCCCCATAGTAGAGCAGGTGGGAATGCTGCAGCGGTTAACCTTGTAGAGAATGAGGATATAAAAACAAACCAGCCGCATATCCTTAAGAAGTCCATGAGCCATCCTTGAAAACATACAACAAATTGAAACACAGACAATGGTACAAAAAAAAAAAAATGGAAATGTAACCTGTTAATGTATCAGAAGAGACATCTGAGAAATAATTGTTTTGTTTTTGTTTTTTTTTTTCAGTTTTTCGCCAGGGCTGGGTTTGAACCTGCCACCTTTGGCATATGGGGCTGGCACCCTACTCCTTCGAGCCACAGGCGTGGCCTGAAATAATTGTTTTTTAAAAAGTGATATTCACACGCAGACTCATGCATCCTTTTTCACCTCAGTGTCCTATATCCATTGCCTACAATATTATTGATCACAAACTTGGTGGCTTAAAACAACAGAAATTTATTGTCTCACAGTTCTGGTGGCCAGAGGTCTGCAATCAAGGTGTTGTTAGGATAGGTCCTTTCTCGAGGCTCTGGGGGAGAATCCATCCTGTGCCCCTCTCCTCGCTTCTGGTGACGGGGGCAGTCGTTGACATTCCTTTGCTTACAGATGCACCACTCCAGTCTCTGCCTCCTCTTCTCATGGCCTTCCCCTCTGTGTGTGTCTGTGTCCAAATCTCTCTCTTCTTTCTCTTAAAGGGACACTAGACATTGGATTGAGGATCCACCCTAAATACAGGATGATCACATCTGACACCCTTAACTTAGTACACGGGTCACCACAAAAGTTTTGAGACAGCCTGTATTATGGTCTGTTATTTCATTTCTAAGGAACACAGTCGACAGCGTCTTTTCTGACTCACCGGTACCAGTTTCAACTTGCTCAGCTTATAGGTATTGCAGGGAGGGCTTCATTTGTTTCTGTCTGTGCAGATTTTCTATTTCTTGATTTTTGTGTATCTCTAAACTTTCATCATGATCCATGGAATACCTGCAAAGACCCTATTTCCAAATTAGGTCATATTCACAGGTGCCGGGGGCTACGACTTGTATGTATTTTAGGAGAACACAATTCAACCCACTCCTGGAGCCATCTAGGTGGCTATGTTCGGAAAGCCTGCACTTGCTAATTCGGGTCACTTACTTGAAAAAGCTCAAAATAGATATAACCTTAATGTGCCCAGGATATTCAGATCTAAGTGGCACAAAGGAAGAAATTAGACACTGTTATGGAATTTCCATACTCCAAATTAAAAACTGTCACCACCCCCCAACTACACCTCAACTAACCTATTCCTCTCACTTCTGAGGATAGAAATAATATTTCCACCTGTGACCTGTTGTTATAAAAGATACCATTGAGAATAGTAGGTTTCACCTACAGAAATATTTTCCTCTTTAGCACGAAGCTGCTTACCTTTCACAAAAAAACAATTCTCTCATATAAGCACACGCATGCACACACACACACCCTGGAGGTAGACATGTAAGATTCTTGTAATTTTATTTGAGATAGATAAGGTGATTACATCAGAGAGACTTTTCTCTTGGGTGGATCAGACCACACAATGCTACATTGCACAGAAATAGAACCTACAGATACCGAAATCAGAATAGGTGTCTCTGAAGTCCAAACAATGCAGGGCTAAGAACTCTCTTGTGTGGCTCAAGCCATACTCGTTAGAATGCCCACATTAAGTTTCTTACACAGTAACTTCAGAAACACTAGAATCTTCACATAATAATAGAGTGTTTGTGCAAACAAGTCCAAGCAGTTTCTTAATTTTGTACATGTACGTTTACGGGGTTTTCAGGTTTTATTAAGATACTTCATACTATGCTGGAAATAAGCACGCTAACACAAAATAAAACCAGATAAAGTGAAACTAAACTGGTAAGGACCAGGCAGATATTGATAAGGAGGGTAACTTCTCCCTGATAAAATGCATATGAAAAATAAGGAAAGGGCTTGGAAGGCATAAACTGTGCCCTCCAGGAAGGGCACACTGGTAAGCAAAATCAGCAGACTGTGCGTACGACAGACATTTCAATTCATCATTTTAAAAAGAGAGTTTAATCTTACATTTCGTGATAGATTTTTAATGCTGACCTGTTCTAGTGGAGAACTTTCAAGCAGAATTACGTCTTTCTGAGCACGTCTTTCAAACTCCTCGAGGTAAGCAGGGGTGGCTTGGCCTGCATCTTCGTGGATTTCATGATGTGTAGGCGCTTCACAATCCAATGCCTCCTCCTGGACGCCTTCATCTGTGTACCCCAAATCACATGGCATTCCATTTGTCTTTATCACTTTTGTGTTGGCTAAACTCTCAGTACTCTACTTTTTTCTTATATGTGATAAAGTTTGGTTTTTCTTACTCTATAGTATAGCAAGCTATACTGTAGAATAAGAAAAACCAAACTTTAGGAAATCACTAAAGTGATTTCCGTTTCAATCACTTGAAACAGACAAATTTCAGGATTAAACAACCACAGCAACAACCTCTGTTCATCCCATCATGTTTACAAAGTGAAGAAAGTACAGCTTAAAGCTTTAAAGCTTTTCCCCATTTACCAAATTTATCTGGAAGCCTGGATGCCGTGCCTTTCTGTGCGTTAATATTACATGTTGTTTACTTCAACAACTTACCACTTACTCACGGTGCTGCTGAAACCAGTTTGGGAGATGAATGGGTTGAGGAGGAGCCAGAGCTCCGGTTTGTTTTCCCAGGTTAGGATCCCTGAGAACAAGTTCCCAAGCTCCGCACACACAGGCACTTTATTTGGGCTACCGTATTTATTTGCATAGAAATGCCAGCATTTATATAAATGGTACAAGCACTTTACTTCTCTATCATCCGAAAACAGTATCATCTACAAAATGTATCTTTTCATCTAGCCAGATGCATGCTGTAAATATAAAATAATCCTCCCTCCTCCATTTTTTAAAAGATGCTGCAAGGTATAATATGGAATTTTCCATGTCTCCAATACCAGAATTTTAACAAGGATCACTGAAGGAGAGCTGCTTTTGCCGGTGGGAATTGAAGTGGGGGTACTGGGAAGTGCACTGATTAGCATCCAGAGGACCACTGGCATTTTTTGCTCACTAACTGTATACTGCATCACACTGTATGAGTCTTTAAACTTTCTAGGTCTCCAGAATATCCTCAGGTATGAAACAGTTGATAAACTACTTGACTATTCTATATGTTGTATAAGGGTTTTGTAAGCCCATAAATGATTTCAGAACACCTATTAGGTTCTATCCATAAATGTGTGACTTAGGTGGATTCAAAGGATCCAGACTGACAGACCTTTCAGACAGATGGAAGGAAATAATAGGTATAAAGTGTGCGAGTCAATGTCTAGCCTGGAAGGCATTCAATATGTTGGCTAACTCAGAAATTAGACTAAAAATATAAAGACCTGACTTAAGCATAACCAGCTGAGATTGTTGGTCTTAAGTGCCAGCGTGACTAGGCTGATGCCTGGTTGTTTGTTCAAATACCAATCTTAATGTGTCTGTGGAGATAATATTTTAGGTGTGATTAATATTAAAATCAGCAGAATTTGAGTAAAGAAGATTATTCTTTATAATGTGTGTGAGTGAGCCTTTTCTAGTCAGTTGAGGGCCTTAATAATAAGAATTAAGATTTCCCAAAGAAGATGAAATTCAATCTCAAGACCACAGCACAGAAACTCTGGTTGAGTTTCCACCTGCTGTTCTGTGAAATTCAGACTCAAGACTGCTATTTCAGCCCCTGCCTGAATTCACATCGACTCTTACCTGATTCTCCAGGCTGCCAGCCTTCCCTACGGAATTCAGACTTGTTAGCCCCCACTACTGAGTGAGTCTATTTCTTAAAATAAGTCTCTCTCTCCCCATATATATGTATATATTGATTCAATTAAATTCTGTTTCTCTGGATAAGTCTAATACATCGTTTGAATTCATGATCCCTCAAAATAGGTTCTTAGCTGGTCTGAAATAAATTAGTTTGCTTTATTTATAAAAGCAAAAAGTAATAAAAGATTCTCTACATGAACTGATGGCAAAACAGTAAAAAGTTTCAGGCAGGAATCAAATATGCAAGTGTATTATTCTGTAAATGGGGCTCAACAATGAACACTAACCTTTAGGATTGTTACTGGGTTTAAGTAAGATAATACTTGCCATAGTTAGAATAGTTAGATTGGGATAGTTTAGGGCATTTCCCTTACCAGGTACCTAGTAAGAACTTACATGTTTAACCGGTATTAATATTTTTATCAATAACATTATGTTTATTTTTCTAGGTATGTCCTTACCATATCTCTCATGTAATAATAATTTAATCCTTATAACTACTCCATGTGGCAGGTGTTACATGTCCATTTGGCAGAAATGACAAAGAAAGGTCACAAAAAACTATTAGAATCATGATCAGCCCTCTCCTCTTATGTACTTTAAGGAAATGTTTCAATAAGGAAACTAGAATGGCTATTCAAAAAGCTCTCAGCACACACTGTGAAAAAATCTTAATAGAATTATTTCCCAGGAACGCAAATATTTGTAAATACAGGAACTTATACTTAAAGCTTTGGCAAAAACCACAATATGGTTCTGGCGTGAATTTATACATGTTAAACTAAGAATTTAGTTTTTAAAAGATTACCTTTAAATTCCTGAATACATATAATAATTTCTTACTCAAAGAGCCTAAAATTTGCAAGTATGACTTCCCACGCCAAAGCTGTCTTCTACTCCTCCAAAACATTTGTTTAAAAGCTAAGACACAATCTTTAAAAAGGGGGAAGCATGTAGCCTCATAAATTAGTGAATCTAAATATGCCACCATGCCATTTTAAGACCCTGAAATAAGTCTTAAGTCAATTGTACCATTTCGGGTTGTAAATTATATACAATTATAAGAAATTGGGCCATAATTACTCTTCCCACAAACTGTAGCTATATTTCAATATCTGCAACCATCAAAACCACATGTAGCTCATCAGCGAATGGTAATATTTAGAAAAGACAGGTTATCATATGTAAGAAACCATGTCAATCAATTTACAACTAATGGTAATAGAAAAGATTGAAAATAATGGGTCTCTTACCTTGGGGTTCTCTTTGTCCACTCTCATCAAACAGCTTCATTAATTGATTATAGAGAATTCCATCATCACCTTGTAGAAGTGTTAAAAGAACATGTGCATGATAACTTTCTCATCCACTAAATTACATATATATGAATGTAATTACAAAAAGAAATTCTTAATCATCATGGTTATTTAGTTACATTATGGGTCATAGAAACAAAACCTACTCAATACACCGCTTTGATCTGGAAAAACCCCTTTTCTAAGTCAATGATAATTGGAACAATGATTTTTAAATGTAAGTTACAGTGCATGTGTAATAGGATACTTCAACAGAAAGGATCTCATAGTCAATGGATTGTGACATCTATTACTCAAGAATAATTTCAGAACAAGCCATTATGTTTTGTCAAGTCATACAAGAGAATATATAAGCTTTTGAGCAAAATGAATGTTTTCCATTAGCTATTTTTTATATATCATTTTACTATGTATATGTAAGAAATAACAAACTTAAATGGTTCTAAATTCCTTGATATATGCTATTGTAATATTATAGCAAATATAAGAACTTCTTAGTTCTCTTGTAAATTGAAAGCAATAAGGCCATGTCCTTAGATGCCCCCCTCCCAGAAAAACTAATTATAAAAACCTGGTTCTAGAGGAGAGTCATAAGGTCATCCAGGTGGGTCTCCTGCTTCTAGATAGAGCCAAATATGAATGATGCAAGTTGTATGACCACACAAGTCTAGAATTAGAACACACATACATACATCAGTACTGGGAACATGTTCCCCTACCCATGGAAGGCAACTACACCCACTGTGGTTGCACTGTTACTGTGCTGGCTTTAATATGGCCTTTATATTTCTACAGCTTATCATTTTGCCACCCATGGACAAGTCAATTCTGAAGATTATATTTAATTCTGCAACTCACATCCAAAACTCCACCAAGTATTCTAGAAGAGCCGAGGTTCTAATTTTCTAAGTTCAAAATTTCTGAAAATTCTAGCTCTCCCCCTTCTGTCCATACCTGAGATCCCTTGAACACCAGACTTGGAAAAATGCAATGTCATCTATATTCATGAACTTGAAATAACTGAAGCCTAGACTGCTGGGGTAAATGGGGTATTTGAGAGAGTGACATCAGAAGATCTATGGAATTAGGTGTCTCTGTTCTTTGCACTGTACAGATGACTTTTCCAAGTATCAGCTGACTGGTAAATGTCTTTTCCTGCCAAAAACCAGCACAAACCTCCTACTACACCAATAGGGAAAGGGAGAGGCCATTCATGAAAGATAGTTTGCAAGATTTGGCATTAGGGAGGCATGGACCATTATGCCAGCATTGCCTGGACATTTGTAACTCTGCAGGATACCAAACTTACAAAGTATACATAACCCATAAAAGAATCTTATTTGAAAGCTAACAACAAGCAGTTGCAGCCGCACAGATGGGCAGTTCTCTGCAGGTGCAATGAAATTCCCAGTGGGATTAAAATACAGATACTATGTTCTGGAGAAAGGCAGCATGGAACAGGTTTGGTATCCACCAAATCTGTATCCGAATACCAGCTGTTCATCTCTCTATACTGAGGAAGTTTCCTAGAGTCCCTGACTTTTAACCTCCTTGCCCATAAATCTGAATGACTTGAAGGTTAGCCAGAAAACACATGTAAAATACACACCTGCATGCCTGACGATACAGGCACTCAGAAAAGGGTAGCTCCTCACATTTGCTTGTTTGGGTATTGTTTGTTTGATTGATTTTGAGACAGCATCTCTCTTTGTCACCCAGGGTAGAGTGCAGTGGCACAATCATAGCTCTCTGCAGCCTCGATTCCTGGGCTCAAACAATTCTCCTGCTTCAGCCTCCTAAGTAGCAGGGACTACAGGTGTGTGCCACCACACTCACCTAATATTTTTCTCATAGAGATGTGGTCTTGCTATGTTTCCCTTACTGGTCTTGAATTCCTGAGTTCAAACAATCCTTCTACCTCAACCTCCCTGAGTGCTGAGATTATAGGTATGGGCCACCACACTTGACCTATGTGTTTGTTTGTTTAAAACTTAGTAATTGTATGAAGTGCCTAAACTTTTTCAACAGTTTGGCTTTTGTTTTCACTACAAATTAATAAGTTATAAACAATTCTTTGAGGATCATGTGAGAGGAAGCTGAATAAAGGACCTAACTAACATTCGATATAGAAGTTCTGGTTCTTCAAGAAGCCACCCCCCCAAGATACCTCCAGAGACTCATTCCTGAACTTAGGAGTGAAGGACCAGAGAATGTCTCCTTCAAATTCAAATTCAACAATTTGAATTAACTAGTTTCCTTTCCTCTTCAGAAGTTTTCCTTAAAAGGGAAAAGTGGAGAAAGCTAACAGGTCAAACTCCTGAGGGAAAAGAGAGCAGACTGTGTCAAAGACAGCAGGAGTCCGAGTCGCAGTCCACACTTGCCAGATCTCTGTGATCTCAGGAAAGACACTAAATCTCCCAAGCTGGTTTTTTCATATTCAAAATAAGAATCAAAATGTCTACTTTGGAAGGACTAGTATTGGTTGGTCAGTTACTGTATCCAATCTAACACATTCCTTGAGTGCTCAGTAAGCAATAATAACTAAGGTTTACAGAGGCTTATGCTTGGAAGTTTAAATTCACTTACTCATTTATTCATCAATTCAACAAATACTTATTGAGTACCATGCTATGCCAACTGGTGTGCTGGGCTCTCAGAATTCTCTGGTAAACAGAGTAGACATGATCTGTGCCCACTTTATATCCAGGAGAAGGTCTAATAGGGGGAAAACATATTTCACTGATAATTGCACTAACAAATAGTTTTCTGACAATCATGGTGAGTTCTCTCTCCTGATACATGGGAAATCATGTAGGTGAGTCACGCGAGTTAAGAATTGGCATGTAAGCTGAGCCTTTGTGCAGAACACTGGCAAGATAAGGAGAAAAGGAAGCTGTCCCAGCACCTGCGAGATTTCAATGTCCAGGAGGAAAGGAGTTCTGTGCATACGAGACACAAAAAGAAATCCAGTGTGACTGGAGCATGGTGAGCAAGAGGAAAGAACCTGAGATGAAGCAGGAACACAAGCTAGTCTCTACACTCAATGCAGCAGGCAGCAGGGAGAGGGCTTCAGTAACGGAGGGGCAAGATCTGATTAGATTCTGAAGATAATCACTCTGGTGATTGAGGACAAAAGCAGGTTAACCATTCCAGGCAGGAGCTGAGGGTTGCTTGGGACTAACTGTGAACAGCAGAGGTGCTCAGAGGCCACAGCATATAAGATCTTATTATCTTAATGTCAGCAACTAAAGTGAACACTATAGGTGAGTTAAGCACTATGCCAGGTCCTAAGGTCTAGTGGAGAAGACCACTAAAGGTAATTATGGTAATAAATATGTAACTAATAACTGGGATGTAGGCCAAAGGCAGGGGGAAAAAAAAAGAGGATAAGGGAAAATTGCAGAGTTAAGGTTTAGTGATTAGAAATTAACAGGCCCTCATCACTGTATGAAGTTTTATTGTGAATTAATAAATGATTATTAGAAGCCACTGGTGGTGGTTAATCGTGTGTGTCAACTTGGTTAGGCTGTGGTGCCCAGTTGTTTGGTCAAAAACCAGTCTCCATGTTGCTGCGAAGGTGTTTTCTAGATCTCATTAACATTTAAAAGATTTGAGTAAAGGTAGATATTTCAAAGAGTAGACTTTGAGTAGAGAAGATGGCCCTCCTGATTAAGTAGGTCTTAATCAGGTTGGAGTCCCAGAGAAAAGACAAGTTTCCCAGAGAAGGAATTCTCTTCCACACTACAACATAGCCATGATTCCTCAGTTTCCAGTCTGTTACCCTGCAGAATTCAGACTCCAGAATACAACGTTAACTCTTACCTGACTTTCACATCAACTCTTCCCTGAATCGCTAGTCTGCCAACCTTCCCTACGAATAGAATTGTTGCTAACACCCACAATCAAGTGAACCAGCTTTTTAAAATCTTTCTCTCACACACATATATGGGCTATGTAATATGTACATACTTTATACATAGCTGTCTATTTCATAATATGTCTGTTAGCAGAGGAGAGAGAGAGAGAGAGATCATAATGCTTAACCCTCTGTGGAGAACTCAAATTTATAAGGTATTGTTACCTATAGCAGATCATATACAAAATTAAGAAATAATATAAAGTTGCACATCTATTATATGGCAGCACTGAAATCCACATCCTATATTAAGTAAAAGGTTACTTATTATTCCATTACTTCATTATCAGGAATTATCATATTAATTCAGTACAAAGAATTAATGATAAAACAATTTTTATTATTCTTGCACTCTCTGCTATATAGACATTTAATACCATACTGCCCTTTCAGGATTCAGGGTAAATAAAATAAAATAAAATAGTGGTTGTAGCAGATTATTTACACTGAAAAAGAATGTCATTCCTATTAAACATTGGAAGTTATCTGCATATGCTCGGTCCCTTTACACCTTGACTTCTAGGAAACACAGAGTAAAAGTGAATGCTTAATTATAATTTTTTTAAATTTCTGATTAATATGAGGGTACATAAGTCATACTGGTTGTGTTCGTAAGGTAAAGTCCAAGTTGTCGTTGAGTCCTTCAGCTGGGCAATGTGCTATGTATGGGCCGAACGGTGTGCCCAATCGGTGAGAATTTACCAAACTCCCACACCTCCTTTTTAAATTTAATTTGTGTTTTTGTCTCCTGTGGGCCTGTAGTTGTTAATCTCCTAGATTCAACTCAGTCTTTAGTGCACAGGAGGCTTGGTTTTCCATTCTCTTGGGGTGCTGTAGTGTGGTTTTCGTACATGGACTTCTTTCTTTCTCAGATGTTCACTTGGACTTTTCCATGACCATGTGCATTTTCGTTTCTATTGTAAATTATCTCAAATTATTTTGGAAGCAAGAGAATATGAGAGTAAAGCTAAATGAAAGGGAAGAGGAACGGAGGCAAGCAGACCTTGGGGGTGTCACCCGGAGACCTGCCGCATAAAGTGCTGTCAACTGTGCCTTTGCCTCAGGCTGTCCTTCCTGGGCCCCGTCCCAGCAACCTGGCTGCTGTGTCCCCACATGATCTTTAGCGCTGTGCCACAGAGGAAGGGGAAAGATATGAGGGCTAATTAGCACTCTACAGCCCCCTGAGTGGGCAGCTGCAATTCTGAGTACTCAGCTAAATGAAAAGGAAGCCATCAGGAAATGGACTCAGGACAAGCTCATCCTGGGAGGGCGCAGAGCTCAGTTCCTTCTCTCTCTCTCTCTCTCCTCCCCCATCGGCACCTTCTACTTCTTCCACTCTCCTCCGCATTTCAGGCCCTAAAGGTAATGGTTCCTATCATTGAGATGTTTTTATTTTGATATCACTTGGGCAATGGGCATAGAAACTCAAAACTGGCAAAGAAAAGGCTTTTGACCAATCATTGTATCTTTGTACCAAATGAATGAATTCACTGAAGAAAACCATTACCAGAAGAAATCCACAGTTAATCTGACTATCGGATCCTACCTTGAGCCAAGTCCCCTTTTCAAAGATGTATTATAATATTACTAAAGTATAATATTGTATAATACATATAATATGCATGTAACCTTTCCAGAAATAAGATCCTTTAAATAGATTTCCAAAAAATAAAGTTCACTGGTGGACCTGACAATTCAATTTAAAGCCTATTTGTCATGATCATAGTTATGGAAAGTCAGGTTATAGTCCTGGGAAAGTCAACACATCACAAAAAAAATCCTTGTCAGAGAGCCACTATTTAGTTTACCCCAAAGTATTATCAAATATCTGATGTAAAATGTTATGTTTGATAACAGCATATTCCAAACTGCAGTTCATCTAAGTACGAGTACCAGTTTAATCTTAACAGCCTAGCACCTGTTATGGGTTAATATGAAAGTGTAGGGTTACACATCATTCACTGTCTTTTGGACAAATACATATCACATCCTGATTATGAATGAGACTCTACCTGCTGAAAATATAGCAACTAATGAGTAAGACACAGAGAGTCTCTTCCTACGTGAAGTTTCCATTATATTTTCTTTTCTTGCTGCGCGTGCCAAATTCAGAGTAGGAGCTTAGCTATGAGGAGTGTGCATTTTGTACATTTGCTCATGAAAACACTACAGAAGCTGATAGACCTATATGGCAGACTGAACTTTTAACAGTCACCTTTAGCCCAATAGATTTCATTTATATTTACATCATACAGGGTTCCAGAACAATGAAACAACTTCTCTCATGGAAAATTTGGAGACTAGAGAGAACCTTTTTTCAACCACAAGTTTTTAAGCCAACCGCAAGTTCTTAAAGTTCTTTCTCCCTGAAGGGGAAAACAAATAGGCTAGATGCAGAGAAATTATTAAAATTCCTGCCTATTTTGAGAGAAAAAGAAATCTGAGGCATTCGATCTGTCTAAATGGCAAGGGATGCAAGAATTTTTTTCAATTGATATTTAAAAGTAAATCTTCCAGTGAAGAAAGAACTACAGGGAGAGAAGAGAAAAGAAGAGCACTGAGGAAAAAAAGAAGAAAGAAAATGAGAAGCAGAAGACAAGAAAAAGTGGGAAGGCAGTTACAAAGCAGTGGGGGGAGTGAAAGCAAAAGCTCCCAGGAGCTTTTTAGAAAGGAGGCTGGAGGCCGAGCCCTCAGCTGGTGAGACAGTCCACTTCTCCCTCCCGCAGCACACGCCAGCACCGATCTGTGGGTACCTGCAGAGAGCTGCCTGCTCTAAAACAAGGGATCCCCAAGTTAGCCACAGGACAGGGGGCCCCAAAAGTTAGCCTCAGGAGGTGGGCAATCAGAGCTGACTAGGGAAGGGCAAGGTGACCAGCAATATTTTGTTTTATGAAACTTAACCCGAATCTGTGGTTAGGACCATTTCTTATTCATTCCACATATACTATTACGCCACTTTCCCTAAATTAGGGAGCCCTTGCATGACAAACCTTCCACCAAATATAACTATGTATTGTGATCCCTGAGAAATTAAAACAGACTTCAACTGATAATTGTCCAGAAATATCACCTCTCAAATGTGTTTGTCAAACAAAAGGTTGAGATTTTCCAGTTTCCAATTTACCCAGGTTTTTGAGCTAACGGTGAAAACTGCCCTTGAGAGTAAATCCCTGTCTTATCTTGCACATAGATGTTTTTGACGGGATTGTACATCACTTAAAAATAGGTCATTGAGAGTTGTTTTGTAAAACAACCTTGGTGCTGTGCTTGAGCCCATTTTCGTGTGACGGAATCTACTCCAGTCTTTCAGTACAAAGTGCAGATTCCATGACTGGTACCCAACAGTGTCATATGATCTTCTGGATTGTACTTAATTCTAAAGTAACATTTGTCACTGACACTATTTCACCAATAATCTTTATAAACCTTAAAGTGTTTTGTAAACTATAAAATATGCATCATGGAATGCACCGCGAGAGCCCTTTTGAATTATTGTTTTATAACCACAACCAGACTCACAATTACAGAAGAGATCATGATCCTATCTCGGCACCTTCGTGGTTCAAAACTCAGGTAGCGATTCCATGCATTTGATGAAAGGAGTTCAATAGTCAGAGTGCATGGAAATTTCATGTGCTAGGTGCATTTTGTTAAAGAATGCTCATTTTAAATTCGAAAAACAGAGATGCACTTGTCAAGTGATCATGGTCCTCAGACACTCACATGGGCCTTATGACAGCCCCAGACTGTGTAAAGTAGCCTCAGATGAGAGCAGATTGCTGCCTTTTTCATCGGACCGGCCTGCTGTCCTTGATCAAAAATTACCTTCACTGCCTGTCATGTTGTTAGCGGTTAAAACTTACCATTTAAATTGTAAGCTGCAAACTCTGAACGGAACTGCATGTGTGATCTTTGTCACCTCATTTTCATGAATGGAAAAGAATATTCTGACACAGAAATTACATACTTAATTCTAGCTCACCTTCTCTGCTGACCTCCATCCCACACTGCCTTGGGTTTATTTCCTCATCCATCAGTGGGTCAAAGTAATTTCTGCCGTATTCATTTCCTGTGGAAAGTACATGAGGTAAGGGTCAGTGATTATTAGAAGCACATGAACCAAAATGTTAATTTTGAAATCGACACCAGCACAGAAGGACCATTTTAGCTCTTTTATAAGCTTAATTTTTGTACACGTCTTCCAGGCCTCCCTTTTTTTGTAATTATCATCTTGCAAAAGGTCAGAAAAGGTAATTCAAGAAACAAGTTCATGCTATCTTTCTGTTGCTCAAAAGTTAATGAAAAAATTATCAAATGTAGACTTTAGAATAATAACAAACTTAAGTCATACTATTTTTAGGACATACTCCAAAATGGATGTGATTGGATTATAGTGAGGTAGAGGGCTCACTGATGACTGTATTTACTCACTTATTTTTCGCTAAACATATGTTGTTGTGTCTTGAATTCCAATACCCACTTAGCAGCATCTTAAAGATGAGACACTATTGCAAAATTTCCATGTTGATAGTTGAATGAAAAGGAAAAAGAGGAAAAGAAAGAGAGAAAAAAGGAAGGGAAGGAGGGAGAAAAGGGAGGAAGGAAGAGAGAGGCTTATTTGTAAGTATTTTTTAGTGTCAAATATCATGAAGGGAAAGTACACGATTTAATCAGAAGTTTATTCAACACAACTCAACAATTTCAGCAGCATGACCCCAAATTTCTCACTTTACATTTCCCACTTATTCTTTCCTCATTGCCAGAACCAAACTCTAGCATTGAGTATGACTTGGTAATGGAGAAAGGTCTGCTATCAATTTCCCAAATCTAGTTTCATACTTCCTGCGGACTGAAACGTATAGGTCTGTTGCTAGTAATTTGCATTCAGTAACATACAACCTACTCTGACGATCATTCGCATTGCCTCAAACACTACAAAAGAAGTAAAGCATGAGTAGAGCAAAAACAACAATTTTAAAAGTATGCCCCACAGGGAAGGGTTAATATCAGGTATGCTGTGATATTCCATAGTATATTTGTTTTAGGATCAAAAGTAATCCAAAAAGCAGCTCCTTTTCTAAGGCTAAATGAAATTTTGATGTGAACCTAGGTTTAATTTCTATTTCTGGGCCAACGCGTTTTTGCTGTCAGTCTCTGTTCTATCAATGCAGTAAGTACAAGAACTGAAAATCTGCTTTCCCTTGAGGTCTCAAGAAAGAAAAAATAAGCGAGTTCCATTTTTGTTACTTTATCTGTCAACAACTACTAGATTGGTATGAATCTTGGCCATATGTAATCAAAGTCTTATGTACCAAGGTAACAGCCATTTTTCCTTGTTCACTGCAAGGAAACTGTTTGTTTCCTTTTCCACAAGGTACTCTGATGCCCTAAGTACACTCTTTCCTATGTTGGCAAAAAATAACCAATATTAGAGCAAAGACGGTAGCATATTCCTCATTATATTAGCATCGGTCAGCTACGGGTTCCCATAGTACAAAAGATGCCCTCACCTAACACAGAACTCAAGTTCTTCGCTTACTGTAATAATTGATTAGTGAATATTACCAAGATAATCAAAACCAGGGTGAGTGAAACAAAGACGAGATGTTTTTAAGCAGAATTCTGGAGAAGGGCGTTTGAGTTTTAGATTCTTGAGCCATTTTCATTTTGGCTGTTAGTTGAGATGCCAGCTGTGTGGGAAAGATGTTTGCCTGTTGGGAGTCTTCCAAGCTGCTAAGTCCCCTTTCATCAGAGTTCAGCGTTTCCACACGCAACAGGGATACAGATCCCTGTAAAATCCAGGCAAATGGCTCCTTCTGCCTTGAAGGCAGGTGGTGAACAAATGGTTCAGTTACAAAGGCCACTTCTCCTTGATTCCTTCTGTGGTCCCATTCTGGGATACCCACATGGCATTTTACAAGGTAAGGATTCTGAGGTCTCTTGAGCCCTCGACGCTTTCAGTACTGATTGCCTTAAAAATAGCCTCAAGTTCTATCTGACAGCAAATCTTTATAGAATTTATGTATTTTTATAATTTATATACATTTTATACTTTATATTCTATTATGGATTGTTCTACACATACGGCATTATGCTTGTCTATTGTCTGTCGCCCCTATTAAAGCACAAGCTCTGTGAGGGCAGAGATATTACCTGGCCGATCACTGCACACCCTCAGCACCTACAACAGCGTCTGCACACAGAGAAGCTCACAACAGGCTCTCAAATCCATAATTGAACACATCTCTTTCAGCAACCTATTGTACAGTAATGCACTATCCTGTCATTGGCTAGAGTTCTTTCTTGATTAAGTGAGAGGCAAGGTATCACCTTTCACTCCTCTCTTCCTTTCTGTCCCCTCTTCCCTCTCTCCTCTCTTTCACAACCCCCACCTTTTCTTTTTGGGTGTCTTCTAGGAACTAAGCACTAGGTCTTACTTTTTATTTAAAAAAAAAGAAAAGAAAAAGGAAACCTGCCTCCAGCACAGGCGAGAACAAGGAAGTTACACGGTTGAACATTATGGAGCAGGAGGGAGTCTGTTTGGCCATGTGGAAGCAGCCAACCCTCCTGGGGGCTGCAAGGAATCCTTCCCGGAGGAAATGCCACTTGAATGAAGCTTTGGAAACATGAGTATGAATTAGTCAAGTCAAAAATACTTGACTGAAGGAGAGATTTCTGACTGAGGGAGAAGCCTGGGAAAAGGAGAAAAGACACAAAGGCATAAAGGGATGTCCCACAATTTTTCTCAGCCTCCTGTAAGTAACAATTTAATAAAGCGAATACCATAATCCAGACTTCTTCACTAGCCCAGAATCAAGTTTAACTGATGCGTTCGCTCAAATTCTCAGCACATTGTTGCACAGTGTCACTTATGACATCCTGCATCCATTCATTCAATTGGTGCTTACTGAGTACTTATTATAGGACCATACCAATGAAACAAAACACTCAAAAATCTCCCTTCTCACAGAGCTTACAGTCTATAAGTGGAAGAGTAAGCACAGTAAATATGTGTGTTTATAGTTTATTAGACAGTGGTGAGTGACGTGGGGGAAAACAGCCAGGTAAGGGTGATCAGATCCCTCCGAGAGGTGGGGACGACATTTTGTGCATATGCCTTTGTTTCAAAGGCTGCCCCCAGGATTAAGCCACCATGCTCACAAGACAATTGCGATAGTGACTTTCTCATGTGTTTATTAGTATTAATTATTCATAACTTATTATTTTGCAAATTGCTTGTTATAACATAAACCCGCCTATGAATCAAGTAAGGATACACTGTCAACTATTAAAGTGATTATTTCTTTCTATTGGCATTTCTTGCACCAGTAAGCCAGCAATACGAACACAGCAGGCAGAGTTTGGGGATGAGAAAGCACAGGGAAACTGTTACAAATTTGGAAACAATGAACTGCATCTTGGCACTAGCTCCTCGCGCTCATGTTTCACTGGATGGTGTCGGGATTTAATAAAGTGGGATGGTTTCAGGATAGGGTGTATACTGCGTATTACCAGAAGGTAGATTGCTAATAGAATAAATTCCTAAAAGTGTCCTAATCATTCAGAGTATGCTTTTGGATATATCTAAAATCATCTCACAGGAAAATGAACAGACCCACTGAGAAATTCAAAGTAGGGCATTTAGCAATACAAACACAATAGGTTTGAATAGGGCTGATATTTAACTCTTGGTGATTTTCAGAAGAATACTATGACAATCACATATACGCACATATACGCAGACCTCTGGTTCTACATCAAAGCAGTTAGATGTGATACACAAACTAATAAATAGGTAAATCGGTCCTGTCAATACTCTTGGTACTCGGTTTTTGCTTCCAGCTCCCTGGTACTCGCCACTTCACGTTTAGAATCAGCATCAGTTAATGTAATTCTTGTGCATTTTTTTTTTTAATGAATGGGGGAGAAAAACACAGCACTTGCTTTCTGCCCTTCCACACATATCAGGTTTTCCTATCATTTCACTCAGAGCAGCATAGAACATAATCAGGGGGTTTACTTAAATTACACTGTACGTGAACTTTGGTCAGGGAACCCTCCAGTGGTCACCCATGCAGTTCCTCAGAGGCCATAAGAGTGAGAAGGAAATTGCCCACCAGGGGAAGCTTAGTACAAATCATCAGAGTCTTGCGTCAAGGAGGCAATCACTTCCTTTCAAAGCAGCTACATTCGTTAGAGAGGAAGAAAAGCTGAATGCAACTATCTGTTCCTCAGGAGGTTTTTGTTGGCCCCATTTTTGTCCTTTTCTTCTAAATCCACCTGCTTCCGCTCAGCTTTTTTTGGCACTAATCACCACATTTTCTATAATAGTCTATAAACTAAGTAAACACATATAAACTAAATAACAAAACACTATATATCCTATAATTACAGCCATGCACTAGATTTTTACAAAATAGGATGTTTTTCTGAACATTGTTCCTTGGATAAAGGCATAAAGCCTAGAAAATGAAAACGAAATTTGATTCCCATGAACTTTATAAATAAATGTGGGGAAACATCACATTTTTCATACTTTGAAAATCCAATACAAATATCTCCCATTTAAATAGCCATGGAACCAGATCATTTACATAAATACATGAAATATAGAGGTGGAAATCTAGGGACTGCACCAGAATATCAAACAGTGGGAACTATGTCAGACCTAAACGTTCTGGGCCACATTAAATCATTCAAATGCAATTTTCATAATGTTAATCTTCAAATCTTTTTCAATAAAAAGTAAATCAAAATATACTTGATACTCAAATACTTAAATACTCAAAATACTTCTTAATATGCTACAAAACAGTTATCATAAATTAAGTCTTCGTTATACTAAATATCAAGACAAAAACAAGAAATCCAAACAAACAAAATAATCTAAAGACAAAAACACAAACTATGACTTGGATGTCCACTATCAACATTATTACACAACATGCTTTTGGAAATCTTGGCCAAAGCAGTTAGGACAAAATTAAGGCAAAAAATAGGAAAAACATGTGCTAAAGTTATTGCAAAAAATTAGGTGTCACACAATTTTTATTTGAAGAAAATGTGATT